CCACCTTCAAAGATAGGCCTACCCGTAGAAAGCAGGTTAGTATCTCAGCAGGTTGAAGTAGGACACGGGTATCCATTTTTGGTGGCTCAAAGCTTCACCTTTTTTTTCCAGTTTGGAGTTACTCACTTTTTTAAAACAAACATAAGCCTATGTTAGGTTTTGTCTATCGTTTGGGTCTCTTGTCTGCCTCTCAACGGTGGGAACTCAAAATGAGGATACAAGGAAGGGGGGAGGACAGATGGGGAGAAGGCTCAGAAACAGGAGAGGGGATAAATCACAGGTTGCCCACCCTTGGTGGTGCTCAAGGCGTTCCAAAACTCCTCTGGCACCAGATAGGAACCCAAAATAAGCTCTCGCTAATCAAGCTTGTCGATCTACATCATGAACTTAGTTTAGGGTTTCATCAACCACATTCGAGCTAAAGAGTTTAGATGAAGTCCTATCAAGATCTCTTCAGCCTCTCTGTCTAGCGAATTCTCTGACTAGCTTACCACAAGTCCAACCCTCCCCAAACACCCTTGTTTGCCCCACAAGAAAGCTTACCCAGGTGACCAAGGGCCCTGATAGGAATTCCTCCATCGCTTCTAAAGCATCTTTATCCATGACGCTGTGGATGTGAAGTCTTCTTCTGCATCCAGGGCTCCTTGGAGGTGGTAGGTAGGCCCGTACTCTTACATGATGTGTATTGTTGGGGTATCTTAGATCTTCCTTCCGTAATCTGGGGTTTTGAGGGGCCAAGGAGGAAGCTGGGTTGCTTCAGTCAAAGCACTGAATTAAGAGCCTTTGTTGTGCGGTCTTTCCCAATGCAGTAGGCAGGAAGTCCTCAAAATGAAACCTACCCTGTTGAAATTTCTGCAGGACTCGAGAGACTTTTTTTCATTTCGGTGAACGATGGTCCCAAAGAGGGCCAGTTTTCAGAAGGCGGGCTGCAATTTCCTTGACTCGCTGCAGGAAAGTGACGGAAATGTTGTAAAGGCCAAGAGGACGCTGTCAGTTTTCCATCACCTCCTCGTTATCAGATCTGTGGTCTCCAAATCAGGCCACAGAACGTGAAACATGAGGCAGGAAGTTCCAACTGCTCTTGACATATTGCCTACGCTGTGGTATTCGTCACGTGACAACGGAGAGCTTTTTGATGGCCCTTATGAACCGGGTTCCCTGTTCAGATGCCTTCCACCACCAATGGGTCTGTTTGCAAATTTAATCAATGGCTCCGTGGGCTGAACTACACGGAGAACCCCAGAATTGAACAAGAGGATGTGTGCAAGTCCACATTCAGGAGAGGGAAGATTCGAAACATGGTTAAAAAAAATGGTAGGTAGGAAAACACCAATGTAGCAGAAGTCATTTTATTTAATTTAATTTTAATAACACCTTACATCTTTCTGGGAACTTCTTCCTTGCAGATGACAAAGCTATGGTTCTTCTCCACCAGAGAGATCAAAACGAGTGTGATTATCCATCCCATTCATACTTTAACTCAAGACATTTATTTTGATAAGTAGAGAAGATCCTTGAGATCTTAACAAAATAAGAAATAAGATCAGGGGCCCTCTTTCCACCCCACCCCTAGTTTCACCTGTGACCTTTGTCAGAATAGGATATTTTGAATAGTTCTCTCAGGATGATAGATGTTCAGTTTTGCCAAGCTGGGCTCTTGAAGTGTCTAGTGTGGGAAGCAAAATGAATTGCCAGCTACAACTGAGAGACAAGTGATGTTCTGGACGACTTCCATCAGAAATAGCCCCTTCCGGCACAAATGTTCAGAAATGGCTTCATCTGGTGGAAAGACCATTGAAAAAGTTGAAGACTTGTCCTAATTTCCATGAGCCAGCCTGAGATCCAGATAGAGTATCTGTTTGAAGCTCAGCTTTGCTTGAGAACATGGAGGCTGTAAATGACAAAACCTGTTTCCATTTGCCTGTGATGGAACAGGAATGATCTATGCCTACTTCACAAGACTGTTGTAGAGAAGATAGCCTTCACCAGCTCTCCTTGGAGGAAGTCCACCTTGCCACAGACTCACTTGCAAGTTGACTTTCTCAAGCCCACTTTTGATTCAGAGCTGATGTTTTGGGGGTGCCCTTCTCAAAGGTTGAGAAAAGACTGCAAAGGTCTTGTAATTCGGCATTTTTTCCCTTCCCAAAACAAGATTCTAGAAAAGGGAACTAAGAAGGGGAGACCAGATTGGTTGAAACTGCAATTAAGGTGTTGCTTGAACTTCATTCATAATTCTATCCACGCAACAGCATTCTTCCTTTCAAGGCTTGGAATAAATTGAATTTTTTTTTTTTAAAGCAGGCCTGGGACATCTATCTATTTTCTTTAGGTGTGCTCTTAAAACTAAGTTTTTTTAAAATCCTGGTCTGTGAGCCACTCTTTGGTTTCTTCACCCAAAGAAAGGTCTGCTAAGCACACAACAGACCAGGGAAGGCTGGAAGAAATCTTTTCCTCTCTCTCAGAGGGAGTGGGACAGGATCATTGTAAGGTTTACCACCTTACCCCCAAGGCAAATGTGAACACACAGCTCTTTGACGTAACCCACAGAAACAGAGTGAGACATCTGAGTTTTATTTCAGGCTATTTATACACAAGCAAAGCAACGGAGAAGTTAAAGTAATTACGTAAACACGCCCGCCCGACATCTTTTGTGCGCTATCTTGAGCAAATTCCAAAATACGGCAAGGGTCATCTGGGAGGAACCAACTGGGGGTGGTGGGTGGATTCCCACCAGGGCTGAGATTGGCAAGGACCCATGGGTGTCTGGGGCTCACAGCTGAGAGACGATGTTGCTAGCCAGGCTGCAGGTAAGTCCTGTCCCGTCTTCTTCCACGTTGAGGGACTTCACTATGCTGTCCTCCACCACCATGGAGAACCTGAAAAATGGAGTGGAAAAGGGGTGAAACAGGGAGGGAGAGGGGAAAAATACAGCTGGGGGCAAGGGACAGTTTTTCTAGCTGGATTGAGGGGGTCTTGTTTGGAGATATAAGAAAAAGTTGAGGTAGCCACTGGGAAGATTCAACTAGGGTCCAGTTCAACTGAGGTCCACCTGACCTGTCCTGTAGCGGCTGGGAAAGCACTCTGTGTGTGTTTGGGGGGGGGGGGGGTACTTCATTGCAATCCAGAAGATCCACTCTAATTCTGGGGTTCTCAGTGTGGTGCCCATGGACCCCCAAGTGCCCACAAGTCTTCTGCTGATGCACCAGCTCCAGCTCTTCTTAGGAGACTTTTAAATAAAGGAGAGGGACTCGAAGGACAGCTGAATGGGGCAGCGGGGCTGATGTGTTTTCCCACGGGTTGCTGAACTACAACTCACAGCAGCCCCAGCCCACATGATTCATGATGGAGGATACTGGAGACAACAGTTCAGCACCAGATAGTGACCATCTGACCATGCTTGGTTAGCACCTGGATGAGAGACCACAGGAATGGGTTGGGATGAGGCACTACTCGGAAATCCCAGGAATGTAGGCTAGATTAAGGAGTCAAAATGCATCCTGGGAGAAAGCAACTTCTGCACTATTCCTCAGCAAACTGTGAGGACGTGTCCATGAAGTCATCTACGGAGCTGAAGACAAAGGCTTTGGAAGCAGACTAGGGATCTGCAGCTACTTGAAGCCTGAGGGGCTCACTCATCATCTTTCCAGCATTGCACGTGGAGGGAAGACTTGACCCCCCCCCACCCCCCAATTCTGTTTCTCAGACCTTTTGGATCGGTTTGTCCCAAACAGCTCCCGAAGAGGTTCCTTGTCAAGCAAGAGGTTAGTGGCCTGTGGGAAGAAGCAAAATTGGGATTGACCTTCAGCGTCTGGGAGAATAAATGTGGATTAATAGGTGCAGCTGTTTCTCTTTATATTTTCAGCTTCTGTTTTGCCCTGAACAAGGATCAAAGAATTGAAGGGGAAGGGAAGAAGGAAGAAGGAAGAAGGAAGAAGGAAGAAGGAAGAAGGAAGAAGGAAGAAGGAAGAAGG